ATATACCATATATCAAGAAAAAAAACCTAATAAATCTTTTTTCTAGATAAGAATTTATATCCACAGTATGCTAACTAGTATTATAAATTTATCAAATTAGACAAAATTAATTCCATTATTTCGAATATATCAGTATTTGAAATAGTAATTTGAATAAAACATAACTTCATTCACTGTCACTATTATTTGTCACTTGTTACTGTCATTGTTTTATTCATTTTTAAATTGTTAACCAATTATCAATCAATTGTTTAGCATCATTTTTTTTTCTATTAAGCAAATTTATAAATGTTAAATTCTAACCTTGAGAAGACAACTATCCAATTCCATGTCCTCTTTAATTGTCACATCATATAATGGCTTTGTAAAAAATGGTGGTCCATTGGTGTTATCAATAATTTGTGCAATAACATTAACTGTTGATGATAATGATGGTATACCAAAATCTTTTGCATGAATACGAAAATGATACTCTTGAATTGAACAATCAAACTGTAATATTTTTAATTAAACAAAAAAAAATTTTTTTAAATTAATTTTAAAAAAAAGTAAGTAAAAATTAATTAAAATAAATTATTAAATTTATTAAATTAAAATTAATAAAATAAAATTTGTAAAAGAGAAACGAACATTTTTATGAACATTTAAAATACCAGTATTAGAATCAATTTCGAATATATTTGTATCAGAAAGACTATATTGTATTTGACCATTTTTACCACTATCCAAATCAATTGCTTGAATTCGTACTAATTTATAATGTATTGTTGATAAATTAAACATTATATGAATTATGGAATTTTCAAATTTAGGTGCATTATCGTTAACATCAAGAATCTGAAAAAAAAAAAAATTATTTGAAAGAATTAATAATTGGAAAATTTGTATAATTAATTAAACAAAAATTGAAATTTTGAATAAAATTGAAACTTTTAAAATTTAAATTCATTCATTTAAAAATATTAACCAAAAAAAAAAAAATTTACCTCAAAAAATATTGGAATTTCTAGCAATTGTTTTCCATGAGATTTTATTATAAAAAATAAATTATATTCAGATTTTTGTTCATAATCAAATGTTCCACATGCAATTACCAAATAAACACCCAATGAATCAGTTTCTTTGATACATAATCCATCACATCCTTTTATTGATAATTCACTACAATTTTCAATTTAATTCATTAAAAATTATTTCAAGTGGATGTTTGATCTTTACTACGATTCTGAATGTTTTAATTTTCACTAAGATTCTGTGCATTTGATTATACTGCTACGATTCTGATTGCTGCTATTGCTGCTATGATTCTGATTGCTGCTATTGCTGCTATGATTCTGATTGCTGCTATTGCTGTTATGATTCTGATTGCTGCTATTGCTGCTATTGCTTCTGATTGCTGCTATTGCTGC